CTGAACAAAAGCATTGTAAAATTTTTGAGATAACTCAAACTCATGCGCTTTATACTTCTATTCCTCAAGAGTTCTAGACAGAAGTCGTCCTAAGTTCTGTTTATCTAATTCATTGTCTTTCATTCTTTTTGGCACGTAGATCTTGACCGCTTGAAAGTTTGGTGTTTTATATGTGAAATTGTAAAGGAATTTACATACGACAACATCATTTTGTCATCATGTTGTCATTATGTAGTGCAGATCAAGTGATAAGGTATATTAAAATGACGACATCTTACAAGCATGAACAAAAGCATTGTAAAATTTTTGAGATAACTCAAACTCATGCGCTTTATACTTCTATTCCTCAAGAGTTCTAGACAGAAGTCGTCCTAAGTTCTGTTTATCTAATTCATTGTCTTTCATTCTTTTTGGCACGTAGATCTTGACCGCTTGAAAGCTTGGTGTTTTATATGTGAAATTGTAAAGGAATTTACATACGACAACATCATTTTGCCATCATGTTGTCATTATGTAGTGCAGATCAAGTGGTAAGGTATATTAAAATGACGACATCTTACAAGCATGACCACTTAGCCTCGATAAGCCATTACCATCTCAACATTGTTTTGTCTCATTTCTACGATATGTTTGATTTTGGGCGTAAGTTCGGTTGGGAATAAACTTACCAGCTGATACAATCAAGCGTTTAGATGATTTTTGTAATAGTTTTTGAAGGCCCTCTTCATGTTTAAACTTGATAATTAGGGATATACTAGTGTTGTTCCTCTATCGAGGAAGCCATACAAATAAACTCCAATGTCGACATTTTCTTGTATTCAGACTATAGTAAATGTCTCTCTATGTCATTATTTTTTCCTCATGATCTGTTTGGATCCACCCATAAGAAACATGGGATACTTTCAATCATGCGTTAATGATATTATGTATTANGTTTCTAATTTGTTTTTCCATCTATTGTTACTCAAGTTTGATCCACACTTAACAGTATAAAACCGTCTTCGGGTCAAAAAATTGTGGTAATCTAGGAGTTGATTCCTTATTGAATGGAAGCTATAAGAATACTGGATAAAACTTAGTCAGATTTTGCTGATTGAAAACGCTTATTAGTTCCCCTGCATGCACACAAAGCTCATACATGAATGACGAAAACCTATAAGAAGGACAAGGTCTTACGTGGAGTTGGGAACATCAAACGGGAAAGTCATGAGACCCTTTATACCACCACAGCAGCTATGTCCGATTACCACAATGTTCTCCACCTGAGAAAGATTGGAACTGTTAATCAGTCCCATGTTGACGACTCACATAATACTTAAATGAGTCTGCTGAAATGATGATCCAACTCATATCAATCTCTGCCGGGTCACTCATTATTCTTAACGAGACCTATCAACTCGATATGGAATCGCAAGAAGTTATAATGTATGATTTTATTATTAATGAGTTCCAATCATAATCGGGTTGACTGGTCAAACTCATTTAATATATGGGTAGATCGATTACAAAAATATATGATGCGGATCCAATTATATTACTATAAATAAGTAAGCACAAGTAAAATCTTAAGTACGACACAAATCTAAATTCATACGAATAACTGATTATCATATCAATGGTTGTGATTGTTAGTCACAATATAAGAGGAGGATTATGTTCACCTTGAGATGCAGAACAGCATATTCGACCGCAGCCCCAACTCCAGCGTATTTAACCTGTTGCAGCAAAAGCAATCAGATCCAAGTTTGTAATTGCGACAAATTACACTTTGGATCCTTTGAACTATTGTTTTGATCCCATTTTATCTAGGCACATCAATTGTGTCAGGTGACATGAGTTTGTCTCGAGTTTTAGCGGGTTTGTGTCAAAAATATTTTAACAATACTTGATTTATTATTAATTTATGTTTAATAAATCGTGTCATATCGGGTTTATGTTATGTATGAATTAGCTAGTATATAAACGAGTTGAATAGTGTATTTCTTCATATTGATTTCAACTATATTCTATTCGTTTATTAATTGTGTTATGTCATGTTGAGTTCATTCGTTTATTAAACAAGTGGTTTAAAAAAAACTCAAACCTTCTAGTTTCGNCACATAATACTTAAATGAGTCTGCTGAAATGATGATCCAACTCATATCAATCTCTGCGGGGTCACTCATTATTCTTAACGAGACCTATCAACTCGATATGGAATCGCAAGAAGTTATAATGTATGATTTTATTATTAATGAGTTCCAATCATAATCGGGTTGACTGGTCAAACTCATTTAATATATGGGTAGATCGATTACAAAAATATATGATGCGGATCCAATTATATTACTATAAATAAGTAAGCACAAGTAAAATCTTAAGTACGACACAAATCTAAATTCATACGAATAACTGATTATCATATCAATGGTTGTGATTGTTAGTCACAATATAAGAGGAGGATTATGTTCACCTTGAGATGCAGAACAGCATATTCGACCGCAGCCCCAACTCCAGCGTATTTAACCTGTTGCAGCAAAAACAATCAGATCCAAGTTTGTAATTGCGACAAATTACACTTTGGATCCTTTGAACTATTGTTTTGATCCCATTTTATCTAGGCACATCAATCGTGTCAGGTGACATGAGTTTGTCTCAAGTTTTAGCGTGTCAAAAATATTTTAACAATACTTGATTTATTATTAATTTATGTTTAATAAATTATGTCATATCGGGTTCATGTTATATATGAATTAGCTAGTATATAAACGAGTTAAATAGTGTATTTCTTCATATTGATTTCAACTATATTCGATTCGTTTATTAATTGTGTTATGTCGTGTTGGGTTCATTCGTTTATTAAACAAGTGGTTTAAAAAAGACTCAAACCTTCTAGTTTCGTATCGTGTTATCGTGGTATTCTAATTTTATCACATCTACTATTGAGTTTTTTCCTTTATCCCCTCAATTATTTGCATTAATTTCACATTACCCCAAATCAAAACTTTTGTTATACTTTGGAATCCAAACATCGATGTGTCATTAGATTTGGGGTCAAGCTAAATAAAATCACATAGGTTAGAGTGCAATCGGACACAACTTTCTGCCATAGACGTATGCAATTAGAACGATATAAAGTCAATAAGAAGCATAGTAAGAGATGGGATATAAGAAACATAACAAATATTGAAAGGGCAATGTGAGATAGGAAGTGTAATTGATGGAACCAAAAGTGTTAATATGTTTTTTCCACAAGTCTCTAACAAGATTGAGTAGTAGTTTGGTTAACCTGATCATATTGTGGGACCATGTTGGCAACGTTTCGGACCACAAATGCCTCCCCTGGTTGGAAATCCAGCACATGTGACGGACAGACCCGGGAGTCGGAGCACGCAAAAACCATGAACTGCCACACACATGAATAATGTCTCGTCAATTAATCTTCTCCCTCAAATGTAAATCATTCATGTCGGGACTAGAGTATTCATAAAGTTTGGTTCTAAGAGGTTGTCAAGATTTAAAATTAAAACATTTGAATTTACATTTCATTTCTGTTACCACTTAAGCTATTCATTGGAAGTATATTTAGTTCATATCGATAATGAAGAAGACTGAATACCTTAGGGCTCTGGCCTTTGGCAAGTTCACCGTATAAGCTCGGATTCGTTCTGAAATCACAAATAACTCATCATGTCAGCAATGGCCGGACGGAGCAATCCGCCAAAGATTGGACACAAAAGCTGCTACTGTCTAAAAGAGTTAATAAAGATGCTGCTAAATTAGAGTGGATAGGATAGGATAGTATATAAAAAAAATTAAAATACGAACAAAATTTACTCACTCGTATTTCTCTTTTTTAAAATGAATGAAGCCGTTTTTCAGCCTCTCAACAGGGTTAAACCCTTTGCTGTCAACTGTTTGCAACTCTGCTGTAATTTGATCAATTTTTGCTGCTGCAACAGGTCCTAGCTCTCCCTTCTCACTGCAAAAAAATATCAAAATCAGTAAGTATTGTTTTTGCCCTTATATATAAGAAATATAAGGAGAAGTATA